CGTTAATGTTTTAATAATGTTGTACAATTTAATCAAATAAAAGATCTTAAAATGTGGATTTATTACATTATATTATTAAATACATATTTGGTATTTAAAGGAGAACTATGTGCTTTTCCCCATAGTTCTCCTAAGGGTCACGGGTAGACATAAACTAGCGTCCTCCCGTGACCCAAAGCTCAGTATATCGCGAGCTACAGCTCGCGGTTCCCGAGACCGCCGCAGCCGGGACATATCCCGACATTACTGTCGAGATCCACCCAGCTGCGTGATTTACAGCTGACTCTGCCTATCTCCCCCGTCCGTTCTGCCAGTCAGCGCTGGAGGATCGGAGCGGGGAGGGGGGAATCCCTGCAGGGAGCCGTGAGTGACCGTCACGCTCTCCACTGGGACATGATCGAGAAGTGAGTGAGCAACGCTATGTGTTAGCTCACTTCCCGATCTATTGAGCCGACGTGTGACAGTTTCATTGTCACACATCGGCTCAAACTATGAGGATGGGTGAAAATCACTCACCCCATAGTTATCCTTTAAACATTTAAATTGGTGTTCAAAATATGCCAACTATGTGCAAAAAAATACCTAAACTTTATATTATTCATAATCCTTAGGCCATTAATATACAGCTAATGGTTAAAGATTCCTTATATATGACATAAAAAGATAATATGGCTTCCATTATGACATTCCAAACACCAAATAAGCACATTTTGCATTTCAGCCATAAATATAAAATGACATAGTTTGTAATGATGCATCCTGGTAGTACTGTTGCTTAAAACCACCAAATACACATTTACTGACATATGTCATATGATTGTTTTGCAAGCTCCAGTGTTATTATTACCCTTTAGCAGAGGTGGAGAGATGAGGTGGTTGTTGGATTGCTTTACTACACACCATATTCAACTGTTTATAATATTCTTCTGTGTCTACATATTTTCTCTGTGCACATTATTCATCAGAGTAAAAAAAGGAACTATGAAAACCTCGAACAACTTTCCTATGACAACAAGCGTGGACCCAAGGTATATATGCATGGAAAATGCACGTAGCCCACCGGTTCTAACTAAGTCACAGACACCCCAAAACCAAAAACAATACAATCTAAATTTTACCTCCCCTCCCCCACCTAAATTAGGTGGTCCGTGACTGTCTGCTATATTTGTGCAATCCAGTAGTGGATTGGACAAGAGAATGGATAAAATGTAAGTGCTCAGTTGCCCCTACAGTAAGTCTTGTTGATCCTTTGATGCTGGAGGGGCCAGCATATATATATATAATTACAGCAATATCTATTAAACTGTGGGCACCTCCAGCAGTTAAAGTTTGTTAGAGATGCATGTGAACCAGTAAATTTAACCTGCAAGTTTTTTGTAATTATTATTTTTTTTAAGAAGATTAATTTTCCAGTATAAGATAAACACTTATTCGTCCAAGGTCAATTCCTCTGTTTACAAATGCATTTTTTTAATATCTTTTTTTTCATTTCTGATCTTTTCCTTTTCGTTTTTTGATTTTGGGAAGAGGACACTCATTGGATTTTTTAAAAATTGCATTTCCAGACTTCTTTTTTTTCTGTCTTTTTAAATGCACGTCCTTCTTTTTATATTTTCTTTTTCTTTTTGGGTCTTGGCGGACTTCAGTTTGCATGCAGAGTGCAAAATCAAAGCAAAAGGATAAAAAAAAAAGGAAAGATAATTGAAAGAAAATATTGGACATAGATAAAGTCTAATTTATTTATGCAAACACAATTTAACCTTCTTTTTCTAGATAGCATGGCTCTGTCTCTCTCTCTCTCTCTCTCTCTCTCTCTCTGCGAGGTATTTGATGCCTGTGCTAATTCCATTTGCTCACACTAATCACAGGCAGAAAAAGTTCTTCATTTTGAGCCTGGAACCAAAAATGTGACTGCTCTTCTGACGGAAGCCAAAGGCCTAGAAGCTAGAGTGATCATCCTCTCTGCAAGGTTGGTCCCCGCTACAAAAAATGTTATTAATCTTTGTTCATTTTAAGTTCACCAAATAAATTGCTTACACTTTTCAGATTTTGTTTACTTTTTAGGTGCAAACTGTAAGGTGGGCATTCATTTACTTACTTAGATTTTATTTTCAAGATAGATACATTAAAAGTATCAACTAGTAAAACTGAACATGTTTGCATGTTTGTATTGTATATTATGCATGGCATGCATTAACAGTTAATCTAACATTATATGTGTTTTATTTTATTTATGTTTTGGTAATATTGACTGGAAAACAAAACATTTATTAGCCAAATAATGTGACCACATTTTTTCCTTTACAGAAATGAATCAATCACTTATTTTCACTTGGTAATTTACTTTTGAGTGATCACTGTCTCTTTTTTGCTAGTACAATTGTGACCTCAGATGATGATTTTTTTTTTTGGAATGCTTTGTTAATTTTGATTGCTGGACATTTGTATTTTTAATATATGGGGATGCATGTTTATGGTATGCTGATAGCTGTCTGAAAAAACTCACAGAAAAATGTGTGTACATTCTATAATGGCGTAGTGCAATGTAAACTATGCAACATGCTCAAACCACTAACAACACATGAACACGTGACCCAGACATACTGAGGCTGATTTACTAAAGAAGCTGAGGATCTTTACTGAAAACAAATGTGTGAATGTTTTAATAATTTATACAATCATATGAAAAACAAACAAACAAACAGATCGCTTTAAATAAACAATCGTGTGCAAATGTTTTTTTTTGAGTGATGAGATAATTGAACTAAATCCACACAATATTTTCAGTGAAGATCACTCTGTCTAAAGGTGCCCATACACTGCACGATTCTCGTACAAGAATCGCTGGAAATCCCGCGATCGTACGAGAATCGTGCAGTGTATGGAAGGCGTGCGACCGTTTCTAATGTACGGTCGCACGACTTTTGTATATCGAGCATGTTGGAACCAGCCGAGAATCGTACGATTTTCGGCTGGTTTTTAACATGATCGAGAGATCACTGCCGAACGGGCCGGTGTGCGCACGCGCACACTGCCCGTTCAGCATTGCAAGTACGATCTGCCTGTCCAAGATGGGCAGATCGTACGTTTTTTAAGTACTTTACAACCCTCGCAAGACAAAAGTCTTGCGAGGGTTGTAGAGTGTATGGGCACCTTTAGAAACCAAATACCATAATAAATGAAGTCACCATAGGCGTGCACAGCCTATTGAATTAGGGTGTGCACACAAAAGTACAAACACATACGCATACTGTATACACATACTGTATATATAAAATATTCACATACATACACACACAGACCTGAGGCATCCCAGATTCCCATTTCTTTAACTGTCCCTTACCTCTTCCAGCATGTGTGCAGTAATTAAGCATGAAGCCTGGCAGGTGGCCATGTGACCACCCACCCAGCTTTTTGATTGGAAGTGATGCATGGGAAGCCACAGCTACACTTCTTTGCGGCTTCCCACTCACCGAGGACTGTGGGTGCTATGTGAGGCATGTAAGTGGCAAGTGCTGCTGCGCTCTGTATCGCTGAGCCGGTTACAGAGAGTACTTTGTGATTTCTCTACCGGCTTAGTGACTAAAAACACGGCATCTGCTGTTTCGGTTTTGGTGTTGCGCTCGGGGTGATTAGGGTGTGCCTAGGCACACCCTGCGCACATACCTATGGAAGTCACACCCGTTTTAAGCCATAACTGGACTTATTTTTTGAAAATCTAAACTGTGTTCTTATGGGTTTAAATTGCTTTAAAGTCCAAAAAGCATAACTTTTTCAGTGGTGGGAAGCAATGAAAAAAATATAAAGTTTTCTTTTTTGTTCTAAGTTGTAATAGTCTCCTAAAAAATTGTGTTTTTTGTATAATGGATTATTGTAATTTTTCATTCTTCATCTGACCGAACCAATTTCTAACATCAAAATGGTTTAAACCAAAAACTTGGGGATTTACTATTAAGATAAGATACTTTATTTATTTTAGATACAGCTAAATACAGTCTTGCTCACCACTCATAAGCATCATAAAATTCCATAACATATTTATACTAAAACCCAACATGAGGATATATAACATATTAAAACCATACAATTTTCACTTAAAAATTTAATTTAAAAACTTTTATAAAACAAATATTATAAATATTCCTTCCCTGGTGGGTTACAAATCAAACAGGGACCACCGGAATGCCCAATCTATCCCTCTAAATGCATCAAACTATTTAACGCCTGTGAAAAAAACTATTACCCAATTTGTGAGTGTCAGTATTTTATGCAATCTACCAGAAGGAACTAAGCAATGTGAACAAATGATTCCCAGGGAGCATACAGTCATTCCTGATCTTTAGTAGGCCTGTGCTTATTGGTTGTAAAGGGAAAGAGGTGTTTTCTCAAAGTATGATCAGCCCCATATTTTTCACATGATCAATAAATACAGTGATCTCATATAAAAAATATTTATACTTTGTCACAATTTTCTAAGCCAGGTTTGGAGCAATAAAACATATTATGTATGACAGAGGTAATTGTTTAAGGTGCCAATATTTTTGTGCCTATATGCTCCAACAGTGGAAATCCAGCCATGGTATTTTGCCAGGTATATGACTAGGTAAGACCTTCACCTCATGACATTGCTTGCTAATATTCCACGATGGAATGCACAGCTAATATCAGATAGAAAGTATATTGCACAGTTTGTTGGTGTATGCTGATAAGTACTACTTTGTAATCTGATGCAGTCTGAGTGAGTGAGTTCTTGCACGTACTGTGTGTAGCATAGAGACAAAGTTTATCTGCTATCTGGACAGTTTATCAATCCCTCTGTCCCATTTTTAATGATGACATCCAATGACGTTCTACACATTGTAAACCTGCATTTCTTAGATGAGCAACTCATGTTCCAACATATACACAAACATATTGACTGAAGCCTTTGTTTGTTTGGTTATTCAGTATCCCCTCCAGAACTTAATATGGTCAAAGGTTAAACTGGTCAGTTACTAAACGGTTTTGAAAAGCTTTGTGATGTCTTAATGGTATTAATCACATAATTAAGCTTATAAAACATACATTTCATGTAAAGGGAAAGAAGCAGAAACAACCAAAACCTTTATTACCTTACATCAGAAATTGAAAGATTCTAGAATAAAAATAAAAAAACATTTCTTGTTGCTGTTTAAAGAGAGATATGTTTGAATAAACACAGAAGTTTAACTGCAGCCAATTTTTTGGGGGATAATTTAGGGAAGAGTCAAAGGATTTGATTGTCGTCTGTTCCCCTAAAGAACAACTCTGGTTAAAATTTTTAATAGCCCTTGCAGTGGGACTTCCCCCATGCTGCAAGTGTTAAGTGCTGGTTTTTGCCTAGGTGAAAATATAACAAAGTTATACTCACCTGATCTTTGGAGCCGACCGGCTGTCACAACACTCCCTCCAGCCTGTCTCCACCTATGCTGCAGTGATGAAATGCCCCCGGCGTCCTCACATGTTATACACAGTGTATAGAACATGATGGGTCCTTAGACTGCTGCAGAGGAGTGAGAGAAAGGCTCCAGGGACCGGTCTAAGAGCCGGATCAGGTGAGTATAACTTTTTTTATTTTTTACCCTAGGCAAAAATGAGCACCTAACCCTTGCAGTTTGGGGGTAGCCCCACTGCAAGGGTTAATACAAATTCTAACTGGAGTTCTGCTGTAATAAGTGATCTTTCTTTCACATGCTGTCAGGTCAGCAATTGATGAGAAATATTTTCAACAGAGATAAACAAAAACATTTTTAATTTTTTTTTACAGTGTGGAAAAGTTAGTTTCCAACAATGTATTTCTTGGTGTGCATGCTTTCCTGTCTCTGTGACAACTTTCCTTGTGAGGTTGTCATAGGGACAGGACATGAGGGACATTTTTCTCCATGGGGTTGCAGACAAATAAAAACCTGACAGAAATTGTAATTCTCCCCTACACAGTCCAATATTTTAAAAAATGATGTTGAACATTAAGATAATATTGTACCATTGACCACAATTAATCTGTGACATGACTTTTACATTTGCAATTCCTTGCTGTTCAAAGTTTTGTCATTTGATACGCACGAGGAAGATTAACCTGCAGTAAATGTTTGGCTTGTTTGAGGTTTCAGATTACCTGCTGTATACAGTATGCTTCCAGGTGTCTTTCTTTATTCTCAGACACTACACCAACTGAACTACACTTTGCATAAACTGGATCTGGACTGACGCTACAATCCATTCTTTCCTTAAAACTGAACTCTAGAACAGCCTTTCACAGCTAGGGTGCAGTGGCACTCAGGGGTGCCATCTGGCTTTGTCAGGGGTGCCATCTGGCTTTGTCAGGGGTGCCTTCAATTGTTTGCACAGTGTCATGCATTTTCATGTTGCAGGTGAGCTGACCAACAGCACCATGGAAATCCCCTTCCTTCCTGACCTGTTTCACCCCCCACCCTCTACCATGGTGCTGCAGCTGCACTGGGGTGAAGATTTGAAGGCAGGACTCTGATGTGGAGGGGGTCCTAATGTGAAGGGGAACTTCTGATATAAAGGTGGCCCCTGATGGGAAGTGGGGGCCTCAGATGTGAAAGGTGGGACTTTAGTGTAAAGGAGGGATTCTGATGTGAAGGGGGAATGCCGCATCCATTTTCTTTTGAGGTGGGGTCCACCCTTAAAATCCATACCAGACCCCTATCTAGTATATGGGACTGGTATAGATTTGGGGGGGAAACCACACACCATTTTTTGCATACTTTTAAAAGGTGCAGTGACTAAACAAAGGTTGAGAAACTCTGCTAGAAAGATATAAAAGGCACAAATCAATGCAGCTATAAAATAGTTAATATATCTTGTTAATGTATTAGTGAAATGAAAGTAGTGAAAGTAGTGGAAGGGGCTGATACCAGGCTTGCAGCCCTTGTATTGCAGAGCTGGAGTGTGATAGAAAGAAGCAGTACAAGGAACAAATCGGTTCATGTGCTGACAAGGAGCATGCTTATAGGAAGTCAAAGCAGAGTGACAGAGAGATGAGCTTGTCACTGTGCTGCTTCTCCTTTCGCTGTCCAGTCACAGGTTGGGGAAGGTCCAGGATGATCTGGGTTCAGAGGAAGCTGAATGATTCTGGCTATCACAATTAGGACATCTAGTGGCAAAAACTATTGAAGTCTCTAGTTTGAATGAGACTCTTACAGCAAAACCTGGTTTTGTTATTTTATCTTTTAATGGGCCATTCATTTTACCTTTTCAACTTTGGCTGGCGTTCTACTTTGATGTGCACCTGTGCCCAGACATTTTTAACATATTCTTAACAACCAGTACACTTTAAATGAAGCCCTCACTGATCTCTGTAGCTATGTGCAACAACTACAGAGATCAGTGAGGGCTTGTTTTAAAGTTTACTGGTTGTTAAGTAATGTATCCTCAAAGATCACAGCAAAGACCCTAATGTCCACTTTCAGTTAGTTTCTAATCGTTTAGAAACACGTGATGCTTGTTTATGTTAGAGGGCTGGCAGTCTGCCATGGTTCTGGCACAATAGAAAGTAATAGAAAAGGAATTAGGATGTAGGTGCCTCTGCTGTGAACTTTGAAGATGCATCTACCACAATGACTTTAGCTACAGAGGTGAATGGGGACATGTTTTAAAGTGAGTTTATTGCTTGTTCATGTACATAGTCTTGGCACAGATTCACTTAAAAGTGTTCTTAGGTTAAACAAGTAATGGAATTGTAAAATACATGTACTCTTGTACAGAGCTAGAGCTGCTGCTATGATCTTCCACATCCAGCACCTCCAGGCATGTTGAATGTCTTCATGTCATCCAACTGCCAGTGGGTTGCTTAGTGACATACTTGGGTTGTAAGAAAATAAGCCTACTAATGTCATTAGCAGATATGGCTGCCTCGACGTTCTTATATATAATTATAAACTATGTGCAGAAACAAGGTTTTATAACATTAACAGTTGCTTAAAACATTTACAGCAAGTTGGTCACATTCATATTTAACATTTAAAAAGGCCAACGTTGCCTAAATATATTCAAATCTTAACAGACCTAAAGGTAGCAAATAAGAGAAGTCCTTTGTTAGGGTTAACATAAACTTTAAAGCTTTGTTTCTATGTGTCTCAGCATTGTGAAAAACTAGCTGGATTCCAGAAATGTCAAATGGCTACAGGCATATCTAGAAATTCTGCTGCCCTCATTGCTAATATGTAGTGTATAACATCTAGAAATAAACCATAGACATAAAGTTGCTTGCTATATTCTCCAATCAGATTGGACTTCAATTGAAGCATTATTTGCACAAAGTGGGTTTGAGATATGCAAATGTAACATTTTGCACTGCTCATGCTAAGAAAGGATACATTCTAACATACTCTTTGCCATTATGTACTGACCTAACATACCCTCTTCACAGATTTAAAAAAATACCTGCTTTAAATGTATTTAGCCTAATAACAAATGTTTTTGCACTGTGACTTCATTCCTTCCTTCTGTCCTTCCTCCCATTCCCTCTCCACCCCCTCAAAATGTAAGTTACACATTTTTCTTTTTATCATACAAGCATCAGGTATGTGATTTTTTTTTTAAGGTCATATTTTGGAATGCAACTATTTCTTTATTTTTAAAAACACATCCATTTTTTTTATGTAGCCAATAAGATTTGGTTAGGCTACTAGGTTTATTTTTGCTTCTTTTGTAGTCTTTGGGATTAAACATTTTAAAGAGGGTTTCTTTTCTAGAACTGTATAAGGGAAGATTTATGTACAGGCTCTTGCTGTTAAACTTTTCTGCACATTCTGGAGTCTGAGGCATTGCAATAATCATTATTTTATAAATATCAATTATTATCATTAATGGAAGTATGGTGGGATATTACATTTATCAAAATGATATAATTTACACAAGTATTTAACATACTTACATCATTTTCTTTGTCAAA